GCCTTGTGAGGGCTGGCTGTTAATTAGTAACTTACTAGTTAAACGGTAGTTAAAACTTAAATCATGTGTTAATAAAAAGATTTCCCTTTGTATTTCTTCCACCACGCGCCCTACTTTGGAAGTGTGCCACACGTTCCTGTACGGCCACTCACAAATTATTCATATTAATAGTGAGGAATTTGTACGCACCTTGAAGCTTGAGAAAGAAAAGAAAAAAGACACTGTTAAGTACACGATTTTATATTCAAATTTATTTGAAATATATATTTTTTATTTTTTATTTTTGAAGAAATCAAGTCGTTTTGGTTCGAGCCGCTCAAATAGATATTGAACTACTCTCTACTTTGTTTTTTGCATTAAATTATTGTTTTTATTATATTTAATGAAATTTGTTATATGCATTTATGTAACATTGTGTGCATTATTTCTTATTCATCATCATTTATAAAATTAGGTGTGAATTTCTTAATAGTGTTGCATTTTAATTTTATTTGTAGTAGAAAGATCGTTCACAATAATTTTTTACTATTATAAATAACTCTTATGCTGAAATAAACATTGCTTGTACACGTTGGAAATTCAGTTGTATTTTTCTTTATTTGTATATTTTATTCTAGAAAAAATGAAGTATAAACTGTAAATATCATCCATGGAGTGGTTTAAGTAAAACTAATCTAGTCAACTCATTTGGTCTAACTTAGTTCATTTTTCTTTTTGGTTTTCTATTTCTATTTTTTAGAAACAAGAATCAAACATGCTTAACAATTATTTCAAAAAATTAGAGAGAGATAAAAATCAAAGGGATGGAAAGATTTATTAAAGAAAATGTTATGTCAAAATCAATAAGAACTATTATAGGATATTAATATTTACACAGTTATATCTCATAATCAATTAACAATTGGAGGTGTAGCTTATATCTATTATAAACATTTGTAAAATATTTTCGATGTGAGATCCTTAACATGCCCTCTTAATATCGTGCTTTGTTGGCTCTTGATTTTGATTTACTCTATTTTTGAATCAGATGCTCGTTTGAGTTTCTTGAATTTTGATATCATATAAATATTCATAAAATTCAAAGTAGGGGATATCTATTGTAAGGCTTTGTAAGTCTCACAGAAAGTCAGAGAAAAAATATCTAAATCGCTGTAAGGAAAGGGTAAAATATCTAAGTGAAGGAAGGTTAAAAGTTAAAAAAGGAAAAAGAAAAGGCAGAGGTTCAATGATGAGAGGAATTATACAGTGCGAGTAAAAAGAGAGACACAGGTCACAATCAGACACAGGTTTAATTTACTTTTTACATATTTCAAAGTCATTTTCTTTGAATTTTTTGTTTATTGGGATTTGAGCCTTTTGGTGTGAGACCGAGTGATGTTACAGCTGCTTTCTCTCTCTCTTCCCAATTTTTTTTTTTTCTTTTTTTCTTGACAATTACAAAAGCTGCTCTTCGTTTCTGTTTTCATATTTTTAACCCTAAAAAATACATTCAAACGGCTGTCTCTCTCACTCTGCCTCTGCTATTGTACAGAAAATGACCTTTAATTTGGCCCTTCCTTTGCCAAGTCCTCCAAATCAAATTTCAAACCCCTACTTTTCCTTTTCTATCCTTCCAATTTTACCCCTTCTATAAAAGAAATAGGGGAAAATGTGATGTTTAACCAAACTATGAGCATTGAGTTGAAACTTAAGTCCAAAGTATAGAGACTAATTCTGTAATCTACTTGACTAATTTTTTTTTTCTTTTCCTGGCAATGACATCGACACGAGACAAAAATATCCTAGAGATGAGATTATTGTCTGTGAGAGGCAAATAATAGAAAACTTGGCAGGAAAAGAAGGGCAGAGAATGAGTAGAAGAGAACAAGTTTGAAATGGTAGGAAACAAACAGAGAAGAAAAAGTGAAGAGGAAAGAAATTAGTCAAAGTGTATTAAAGAAGGCTTCAAAAAGTGGGAGATGCATTTTGCAGTTTGCACACCATACATCCCATCCTAAATAAACACTTTAGTAAAATCAAATAAAATCTGCCAAATTTTCTTAGACATTATATGTATGTATATAAAACACTTTTGAAATGTTATCCATTTCTAAAACAAGACCAAAATTGCATCATCATCTCACATATTTATATTTAATGGAAGAAATAAAATAATATCTATTTTTGAACTTTAGGGTGCCACTGCCTTTGATTTTTATAAGGTGACAAGGAAAATGAGACCAAAAGCAAAAGGAAAATAATTTATAGTGAAGGGAGGGTAGGATGTGAGGGAGTAGGTAAGTCTTTGAAATTAAGGAAACCCCACCTCTTCATATTTTAATTCAAACCGTATTTTTTTTTTCTAATAAATATTAATTAATAATGA